GATGGACAAATATACCAACAAATCAGAGGAACACCCATGGGATCACCACTGTCAGGACTCACAGCAGAGACCATAATGCAGCATCTAGAAACTATAGGACTCCCACACATACAACCAAAAGTATGGATGTGGTATGTAGACACCTTTGTCATAATAAAAAAGAAGCAACTAGAGAAGACACATGACACAATCAACAACATCTTCAAAGGAATAAAATTCACAAGGGAAGAAGAAAACAATAACACACTACCCTTCCTGGATATCCTCAAAAGCAGAGAAAACTACCACAAATTAGAAACGCAAGTCTATCAAAAAGCAACCTACACTAACCAAGTGCTCCATTATCAAAGTAACAACCCAACCTCCCACAAGAGGAGCTGGGTAAGAACATTATTCAGATGAGTACAAATGCACTGCAGCAACCTAGAACACCAGAAAAAGGAAACAGACTGCCTATAGAACATCTTCCAACAAAATGGATACCCACACAACTTTATCAAAAAGTGCCTGACCATTCAACCCACTACAGCACAATCAACATAAGCTATGAAAAGAATCTAAAGGATCAAATTACTTACAATACATCAAAAAATCTCAAAAACAGCCAACAGACTAACCCTAACCACATGGCATCATTGTAGCACACAAACCAACTAAAGCCCTCCAAAAGATCTTAAGCAAACCAAAAGACCCAAGGCACAAGAAGAAAAAACAGGAGTCATCTACAACATACAGTGTAAGGGCTGTAACAGCCACTATGTAGGACAGACAAGAAGAAAAAACAGGAGTCATCTACAACATACAGTGTAAGGGCTGTAACAGCCACTATGTAGGACAGACAAGAAGAAAAAACAGGAGTCATCTACAACATACAGTGTAAGGGCTGTAACAGCCACTATGTAGGACAGATAGGCAGAAGACTATTAGAGCGCATTCATGAACACCAACTAGCAGTCAGAAGACACGATGAAAACTACTTAAACTCACAACACTTGGGCAGACTCAACTACAGTTTCAACTGGGGAAATGAGCATTCTAGACCAAGCTAAATCCAAAAACACTATGGAATTCCTGGAAGCTTGGCATTTAGACAAATCAGCCATCAATAAACATAAAGAATAAACCATATTTACACACCATTCAAGAGAGACAATAAAAAATCTAAGAAAGAAAAAAAAACACCAGAACTCATACTCTCCAGCAGCCAACACCCAGTTAAGCAGGGATTGACACCAGGCAAACAATCAAGCAGAAAACAATACCCTAATCAAGGAACTACCAGGGAGAAAACCACACCCCCACCAAAACTGGCAGGGCAAGCTAGTGTATATAAACAGAGAACAAACCCCACACTCATTCGCACTGATGATGATACCTAGTTGAGTAATGAAATGTCTGCAAGCAAATGACCAAGCTCAGAGAGGACCAAGGACTCCAGTGCTCTATTATCTTCCAGATCTAAATCACAAATACTATTCACACTGTGATTTATTCTTCCTTTGTCTTGGGGTTTTATCCATATTTTAATTTGTTGTCAGCAACAAATTGTTGTCAGCAACATTAAAGAATAATGTTGTCAGCAACATTATGTTGTCAGCAAATGTTGTCAGCAACATTAAAGAATAATAGGAAATCTACAAAATGGAATATACATGAAAGCTTTTGAAAGGAATAAAAACGTGGATTTTACTATCCCTGTATGGGCCTGCTGTGTATTTGTCCTATTACATTTACAGAGGCAGCCAAAAGTATTGGTACCCCTCCACTTTTTCCCAAAGAATCCCAGTTTCTGTGAAATAAGTTGAAACTGACACAAGTAAATGACATCCACCATTCTTTATTCCATAATCTATAGAGCACACACTTTGTTTTTGTTGTATGATTTAACATATTCTTGTAAATAATAAAAGAAATAAAATGTCATGGACATAATTATTGGTATCCCTAATATTTTGTAGCATGCCTTTTTGAGGCAGTAACTGCAATCAAGCATTTTCTGTAGCTCTGAATAAGATTTCTACACTTCTCAACTGGCAATTTGTCCTTCTCTTCTTGAGCAGACTGCTCCAGTTGTCTTAGGTTTGATGGGTTTCTTCTCCCAACTGAGTTTCAGCTCTTTTCCTAGATGTTCTATTAAGTTCAGATCAGAACTCATAGCAGGCCACTTCAGAACAGTCCAATGTTTGCTTTTCAATCATTCTTGGGTCCTCTTAGAAGTACTGTATGTTCGGGGTCATTATCCTGCTGGAGGACCCATGACCTGCAGCTGAGACAGAGCTTTCTAACGCTGGGCATTAAGTTTTGCTCCAGAATGCCTTGATAATCTTCTGATTTCATTGTGCCCTGCATGGATTCAAAGCACCCAGTGCCAGAGGCAGCAAAGAAACCCCATAACATTATGGAGCCTCCTCCACATTTCACAATCAGGATGGTGTTCTTTTCTTTAAATGCACTGTTTTTCTTCTGTGAACATAGAGCTGCTGTGACATACCAATAAGCTCTAATTTTGTTTCATCTGTTCAAAGAACATTCTTCCAGAAGGATTGTGGCTTGCCAACATGTATTTTAGCAAACTCTAGTTCGGCTTTTTTGTGTCTGTCTTTTAGAAGTGGGGCCTTGCGAGGTCTTCTACCATGGAGGCCACTTTCAGTCAAACAGTGAATGGTGTGACTTGATATTGGTGTACCTTGATCTTGAAGGTCAGCCAGGATCTGTTTTGAAGTTTTCTTGGTTCTTTCTCCACCATTCAAAGTATCCTTCTGTTCAGTCTGTCAATTTTCCTCTTGCGGCCATGTTCTGGGAGGTTGGCTACAGTCCCGTGGACTTTAAACTTCTTGATAATATCATTAAGCATGATCGCAGGAACATGAGGCTCTTTGGAAATGGTTTTATAGCCTTTACCATGCTTCTACCTTTCCTCCTCAGACAACTCTCGGCTTTTCTTTCTCTTGTCCATGTTCACGATGGATACAAAATGCCTGAGTACTTTTCTCCATTTAAATAGCCTGAATGAATGATTATGAGATGGGAAGCACTTGAGATACTAATTAAAGTAAATAGTTTGCTTGAGAGGTCACTAAAATCCAATATCTTTTAACTTCTAATGGGTACTAGTAATTATTTTCATGCCATTTCATTTGTTTTATTATTTACAAGAATATGTTAAGTCATACATCAAAAGCAAAGTTTCTGCTCTATAGATTGTAGAATAGAGAATGCCATTTACTTTATTTATTTACCAAATTTATATGACTGCCCATCTCACAAGAAGTGACTCTGGGCAGTGTACAGCAAAAAATATAAAACAATAAACATGTCAAAAGTCATATTAAAAAAAATTGACTTGTGTCACTTTCAACTCTGCAAATTGGGATTCTTTGGGAAAAAGTGGAGGGGTACCAATACTTTTGGCCGCGCCTGTATAGCCTGCCTTCCCGGTAACTCAAGACACTAAGCTTTCTCCTTTCTTTTGATTTTTCACATATAATCTATGTGGCAGATTGGGCTGAGAGGTAATATCTGACCCCATATCACACAGAGAACTCCATCCCCTCCCTACCATCCTAGCCACTCTCCTTTCTGAACAGCATCCATCACATTCAGGCTAGGACTAGTAGTTCTCTGGCCTTTTGCAGCCCAGATCCGGTAGCTTCATTTTAGGTGGGTTTCAAAAAGGTGGTTTACATAATGGAGACTTTAAAGTAAATATAACTACTATTTTACTGCTTGAACATCTCCCATTTCAATACCAAGCTTTAAGTTGTAAGAAACCGTGGCTGAGTTCATATGTCATACTTAAGCAGGTCAGCAAAAAACTAGCTCAGTGTTTCTCAACCTTGGCAACTTTAAGATATGTGGACTTCAACTCCCAGAATTCCCCAACTGGGAATTCTGGGAGTTGAAGTCCATATATCTTAAAGTTGCCAAGGTTGAGAAACACTGAGCTAGCATATTCGCACAACATGCTAAGTGTGGTAAGTATTAACCTTGGTTAGCTTCTTGTGAGTTAGCATGTTGCCCGAACCCAGGCGTTTCGCTCGTTTTTGGTCCAATGTGGCAAACCCTTAAAACGGGTTAAGGAATCATCTCGCCCGAGTCATGTGCCGACCTGACCCCGCCCTTTGTCCCGCCCTTGCTGCTGCTGCCGCCACCTCCGTCCAGAAACTGCTCCCGGAAATAGACAGCGCCACGGACTGGCAGAGGCAGAACTAAAGCCAAGATGAGAGCGAGGAACAGCGATCCCATTGGGAGACAGCAGCGGACACAGTTAACGCTGAGGCAACGGCTGCCGGAGGCCAACGATTCTAACCTTCCGGCTCCGCGCGCATTCAGGAACGCTCGCTCGCTCTTGATCGCTTATTTTCCCGCCTTTCCCGCAGGGACATGCCCATTGGGTCTCGTTAAGCGTCCTTCCTCTGATTGGTCTTTTGCCTTCGAACTCTGCTACTAGCTCATTGGTTCCCACGGGCGCACGCAGTTCCCTAACACTGATTAGCTCGCAACCTCCGGCCAATGAGAGAGTTCTGCTAGGATGGCTTTGGACTAATCAGGATTGACGATATTGGCACGTTCAGTTGCTAGACAACGCAGCGTCCGGTCAGGGAGAAGGACGCGATCCGGCGGGGCTATGTGGAGGACTGGCTGGCAGGAGTTTACTGAGGCCGAGGCCTACGTGGTGGGGAAGCGGCTCGTCGCGAGAGGGGAGCAAGTGATGGTGACGAGACTATTTTATCTTATCATGCTGGTCCGTAAACGAGCATATTCTATTTCGGTTTTAAGTCTAAAATCTTCCTTGATTTTTAGGAGCAAGAAGGGGTTGCCAAGAACAGGCCAAACATCCGGGGCCCCAGTAGCAGCCCTCGCTGTCTTTCCGTTATCCCCACGGACAGTGACCTGAGTAACCTTTCCAATCCGAATAGTCCTTGCCTGGGAAGAGAAGAACTGGAAACTGTGGGTCCTGCAGACACCACCCCGCTGGCACAACCTCGCAGCCGGTTCCTCAAGCAGAAGCCACAGAATGTGGACGTGGACGTCCAGCAAGCAGGGCTTAATCCTGTCACGAGGGGGGGGCTCGGTGCTACCTCCAAGGAGAGACCAAATGCCATCCTCAGAAAGCTGGCGCAAATAGAGAGCAAGATCCAGAGTCGGAAGCCCAGGCAGAGCATCAGTCAGATACCTGTGTTGGATCTTGAACTCTCATTGAGTGAATCAAATAATGATTTTGAATTTAGGACAAGGGATCTGAAGTTCATGAAGAAGACAGCCAGACTGAAGGAGAACATCAAGGTTCAGCCCAAAAATGTGACTCTTGCAGACTCAGCTGGGTGTGACAGTGAGGAAAATGCAGATGGATATGGACAAGGGGTCCCCAAAAAGTCCAGAGGACAGGGAGATGAATTCAAATTCAAACCTAATGAAAAGGTAACTTGAGATCTTTTTACCTTGGTGATTTGGACTGATAGATGTTAGTGAAGAAGTTGACCCTATTTCCATATTTATCTTTCTCATGAGAGTTGGAACTTGTTGGCAAGTGTGTGGTTTGAACTTATGAAGCTTATGGTCTTACTCATCACATCATCCATTCCATGGCTGAGGAAATCTTTTCTTTAGACCTGAGGATTAAAAAGTAGATCACAATACAATTTTTTTATGGGTCATGGAATCTACAGGTTAGATTTATCTGTTTTGAAAGTCTGAATGTAGTGTTCAGATAACTGATGATGCAAGTACTTGGAGCCATTTATTTTTAGAAATGAAATGCTACTAGTAAGGATTAGCTGCTTTGGGTAGGGGGCTTTTTGTCCCAGTTGTCTTCAGATACAGTCCTAAACACACTCATTAATATGTATAATGTTCACAGATCCATTATGCTTTATCTGAAAAACATCCAGTGCAAATGAATTATTTTTAAGGCAGTTTTCAATGTTTATTTTTGCTTTCATTATTTCAGAATCCAAAAATTATTAAGATAATATCCTAAACTTCTTCTTTCCTCCCCTCTCTGCTTGTTCCCCTTCCTTTGCATTAATTCATCCTGATCCAGTCCCTACCAGAGACATCTTCCAATTTAAGATCCCTGCCTGAAGAAAGGTTGGTGAAGATGCATCTACACCATTCTCCTTCCTCACCAAACAGGAATACAAGAGCAAGCCGTGTGGCTTCTTGTTCCTCCCCTCCATCTATAAAAGGCAGCCCAGCAGATACAATGTTCCATAATAGGAGCTCCAGCTATCAGAGGAGGTCTCTTTCTGAACAGAGTATCTTCCAATCTTTGGATGAGTTGTTCTCAGATGTGACTGATATACATAATGACACTTCCAGCAATAGTGGTGAGTTACACAGATTGCTTTGTGATGGCACACTCTCTGGCAGGAGTAAAAACTGATAGTGGTCCAGCAAATTGCTGAATTGTAATTCACTATAGGTGGGTTCAGCAATGTTTGAAAGATTACAGATTCCCACCTGTCTTTACTATATAGAAGTAATTAGATCAGTAAAACCATCAATTGTCCAGAGTTTCTGGAGAAATAGCATAAATGCTCTTTGGGATTATTTCTTTTAGGAAAAGGGGCATCTCAATTAAGGTAAAAGATAAACAATATTTTTAAAGAGAGTGGGAAATGATTTGACATTTTTCTCCAAAGGTTGTCCTTGGATAAACAGGTACAGGTAGTTCTTGGCTTACGTCCGTTTGTTCAGCGACCATTCAGAGTTATGGCGGTGCTGAAAAAAATGGATGTACGACCAATCCTCGAAGTTCTGGTCATAGCAGCATGCCCATGGTCACATGATCATGATCCAGGCACTCGGGTGCGTGACTCACAATTTCAACGTTACAGGGAGCCACAGTCACGTGATTCTCATTTGCTACCTTCCCTGCCAGTTCCCACAAACGAAGTCAATGGGGAAGCCAGCAGGGAAGCTTGCAAGTTGCTCCGGTAACTCCCACTGGCTTTCCTGCGCTAGTGCCATGCCATGTTCTCCATCCCACAGGCTTCCTATTCTTGTGCGGCACCACAGCACCCCCCTCCCCGGGCCTCCCGCACCCCTCGTGGCACCCCGTGCTCCCTACCTGGGGCTCCTGCTACTTCCCACTTAATGACCCACATGTTTTAGGATTAGAGCAGCTACCAGGACTGCTGGGATTGTTGCTATGTGATATGATCACATGACGTGCTTTATGACCCCATCGCTTACTGATGGCAATTCCGCCCCCAATTGCTGTTATAACACTAGGACTACCTGTACTTCAGAATTATGGAAATGATATATGAATTTTACTCAATATAATATTCTCTAGCACTAGCAACATTTCCAGAACTGTATTCAGATCTCAGAAAAAAAATTATTAGCATTGTAGTTAGATCCTATGCATATATTTGCCTTGGTCTTACCACCCAGATTTGAGCTGCGGCTTATAAAGCCTGGCTATACAGACTGCTTAGCAGAAAAGAGCAAATGCTGTTGAACTGTTTTTTGTGGGAATCATGACAAAAAGGAAACAACTTTGCCAGATATCAGCAAATAAATAACTTGGCCTTCTCATAAGATAGGAGGACATGATTTCACTAGACTGCCCTGCTAAGTGATTGTTTCTTGTTGCTGTAGATTTCAGAGTGAATATTTTGAGCCTGGATGAATTGGAACCCTGCCAGAAAACAGAATTAAAAGAAGAGGTAAAGGAACTAATATCTATGTGTCAGTATTAGTCTGTGTCACAGAAGGAATAGCATCCTAGACCTTTCATCAAGGAAGCAAAGGTTCTGGACAGTTTGTCATAATTGTTCTCTGCTGATGCTACCATTGTTCTGACTAGTGTGTGTGGATCTGTAACATTTGTTCATTTGTCCTAAGATAAATATTGCAAGGAATTAGGTTCTTTTTTGCTTGCTTAACTTCCATTTTGTGCTATAGTCTGATTCATACTGATAGAAAAACATCTTTCTCAGGTAATGCAAGCAGTTAAGAAGTCAAACGAGGACTCAGGAGGAACAGTTCTGTTTCCTGCTAATGCCCAAAGCCCCTTTAAAACCTCAGCTGTGCCCTTGGAGGAAGAGGAAAATCTGGAAGAGACTGAGATAGCTGAGCAGCTAAATAGCAGTTCTGCTGAATATTCCTCCTGCAAGGAAGAAAGCCTCACCAATACTGAGTATTCTGAAGATTTTGAGCCCTCAACATTTTCTGCCACAACCTCTTCTGAAAAGTCATATGACCTTTTGGGTCCCTCTGTTCATTCCATCCAATCTAATTTATCCTCTCCCCGCTGCCCTTCTGTGGCCTCTGGGAGCACCAAAGACATAAAGAAGGTAGAGGTGAAAGAAGCAGCTGTGCAGACTGGTTCCTTCTCACTTGCTTATCATGGGTTTCAATGTAAGTCGGCCAGCATGGGGTAGATTAAGATGCAGGCTTCGGTTTTTAGAAATGGTGCAGTGGCCTCAATTAGCCCCTCTGCCACAAAGTGTCTTCTTGTCCCCTGTCACAAACATAGATGATGTTCCCACTGCTGTTGGCCAGACAATAGAACAAAGCTCCGTTGAAGCTCCAGATATTAGCAGCCACAAGTTGAATATGGAAGTCTTAGAAGGTAACACCTCTCCATATCCCTGATGTGCACCATCCCTTATTTGACTTAACCTTACAGATAAGTACCTCATTATAGGACAAAACTGTTATTGCTCCTCCTAATTGGTCATCAGTTAATTAATTTATAAATTAAGTGAACTTTGTTTTAAAATCTGTCACCCGGGTGTATTCTGCAGCCTCACTACTGTACCTGAAATCCTTTTTTAAGTGAAAGTAGCAGGAATTGGGCCAATGCTTGCAAAGTCTGAACTCCGTTGAGATCCATTCCTTCCCTGAGAGGTGATCTCATCCATATTGTCAGTAGCAAAATCCTCTTAGATTTGAAGCATATCCAGGTGTTAGTCTCCTTTTCTTGAGAGACCTAGTGGTAGCTAATCAGGGCAATTAAACTATTCTTATATCTTTTTGCCTTCTGCAGCCCTCTCAATGTACAGTCCGTCTATCTCTGCTTTGAATAACATGTTAAAACAAAACTTGCTGCTCATTCAGCAGTCTGTAGAGATCAATCGACGTCTTCATGCCTCCTTTGTGGCATCGCTGGAAGAGGAGGAATACCACTATCACACCCTGGAAGAAGCTAAAATGGTAATTTTTGCAATCCGTAGATTATGTGCACTAAAAAAAACCTCTCTTTGTAGCCTTTCAAAGCTAAATTAATTGTTCTATTCTTGCTGTCAGGTCTACGATGTTCAAACTCCAATACAGACAAATCTCTGGAACTCCAAAATAGATTCAGAAAAGATTTCATTTATTGGAGGATACATGCAGCTCTAAGCAAAGCATTGCTAAAACTAAAGTCCGCATATTTTTCCCTCTACTTTTACCCCCCTTCAGTTTAGGCACCACTTTTAGTTCTCACAGAAGTATGACCTTGTGTATTCCAGCCCCGATAACACGTCTTCTTCCTGGCCTTCAATCTTTCTCCGGCTCTGTCTTCTTTCATGCCCCTCTCCCCCAAATGAGAATGGCAGAATCAAAGCAAGCTAAGAAAACATTCCCTATATACAAATGGCATTTACTATGCTAAAAAAAACAGTCCTCTAGTTGATATATATTTTGATTGCTGCAGATTCTGACACTTGCATTCTTTGTGGCTGAATCTATGGCACCAAAGATCCAGAAATGATGCCTTAAATAAAAATGTAAATATTGCTGCAGATACCTAAGTCCTCCACTATCATTCTTGACATCTAAAGGGCTGATCTAGAAAAGTTTGTATATCCTGCATCTTGTACTTAGGACATGTATGGAAAATTTTATATAGTGAAGGGATGCCTCTCTTAGCAGTGCTTGTAATTTAGGGTAATTAGGTTAGTTGCTATACCAACTATAAAATAAAAAAATCTATTTTGGCTTGAGAATCACTGAAGGGACAAGCTTCAGTCACAATAGCTACAATTTTTAAATGGTAAATTTCAGCTAGTAAACAAATTTTAAACAGCTCAAAGCTGTTTAAATCCCCACTCTTAATGGAAGTTATTCCTAATTTCATTATTGGTTTGGTTAAAAAATCAAACATACATTGTTTTGTGGAGTCCTTGGGGTTCTCTGAGCTTGGTTGTTTCCTTGCAAACATTTTGTTACCCGGCTAGGTGACATCTTCAGTGCTAGAATGAAGTGGGGTTTGCTCTCTGTTTATATACAGTGGCTTGCCCTGCCTGTGTTTTTTTTTCCCCCCTGGTAGTTCCTTGATTAGGGTATTGTTTACTGCTTGATTGTGTGTCTAGTGATAATCTTGGTGTTAAGCTCTGCTTATCTGGG